GTCGCGCACTTTCCGCATTCCGAGATTGAGCAGCGTTCCGACGCTTCCACGCCGTCCGTCGCGACAACTGTCAAACTATCTTCGGGCCAGCCACCCAGGCTTCCTTTCACTGTCACCACACATAGCCATAATCCGCGCCATCACCGCCGCAACCTCGGCCTTTTCTATGCCCACCCCGTACCGCACACCACGATGACGTCCTCAGCGGCCGGCTCAACCGCCTTCTTCGTCCTCTCCCTCCTCTCCATATGCGGCGCCGTCCTGCTGCTCCTCCGCTACTATCTCCCGCTCCGCACCACACCCGCATACGTCGTCGTACCCGTCTTCTTGGCAATAGCGCTGCCGGCCAGCATTGTTGTGCTCCTGCCGATCGATCTCGCGAGCAGTGCTGGGTTGGATACAACGGATGGCGCGAGGGGCATATGGCTCAATGACACAGTTGTCTACAAGGCATGGCGCATCATCTACTGGCTCACGTTTGCGCTTACGTGGGCGATCCTGCCTATGCTCGGCGAGTACTGCGATAGTGGGTACAGAGAGCCCAAGGCGCGGTTGCAGTATGCGCTGAGGAGTAATGGGCGGTACTGGCTCATTGTGGCTGGGTGCAGTATCGTCGGCTCAATCTATTTGATTATCTGGAATGGATTCGAGGCGGATACGTTTAAGAGTCTGGTCATGGCGCTGGCGTATACCTGGGGTCTTATACTGGGCATCTACCTCATGGGCCACGGACTCGTCGCATTCCCCAGGAGCCTGTTTCGCTACGCGAGCGTTAGTGAGAGGTTGAAGAGGATACAGAGTTCGGCGCCAAAGGTCCACGAGAGGTTGACTGAGGCGCTGGAGAAGTTGGATCAGTACGAATACCAGGTTGTGCAGCTCAAGCAGAGGAAGAACGGCACGGCGCGGGAGTTCCAAGAGTGGATTGATGAGTTAGCGGAGAAGGGCAATCTTCCGGAGAACAGGGCGGGCGTCGTTGGACGTATGGGTACGGCGACGGTGCCTCCCGTCATCACCGAGAGATACCTAGCGGACCTGACGAGGAAGTTGAAGCGTGCGCGCCATGCGAAGTGTCGGTTCGAGAATGAGTGGGATCATGTTGTGCGGAGGGCAGTTAGGACACAGGCTATCCTCGATTCGAAAGCCAGCAAGCATCTCGAGTTCAAAGGTGCCGCGTTGCCAATCTCGAGAGGACTGTTCGATCGCATGACTATCCTCACACCACTCACGCGCTACTATCTACACGTCCACGTCATTCCCGCTCTGGCATACGTCTCTTGGGCTATTACCATCCTCGCCTCCGTCTCCATCGTCTGGTCAGAATGCGTGCGCGAAGCCCAGGACTTCGGCGGGCCTAAACTATCCATTATCGGGTGGACTGTCGTACATCGCCACGACAACGGCCGGTCGTCAGTTGGATTTAACAGCCAGATCATTGCCGCCGCCTGGCTGTGCTACATGTGCATTTGCGCATTCTACAGTCTCACCGAGGTCAAGATCTGGGGCAACAGAGCACTAGTACGAAGGAACACATACCAAGAGTCCGCGACCTGGTACGGCCTCCAAGTCGCCAAGCTTACAGTCCCATTAAGCTACAACTTCCTCACCATGACAGACAAGAACATCTGGAAAGGTACCATGTTCTACAAGTTCCTCGGCCGCCTCATCGTCCTCACACCCCTCGGCGAAGGCTTCAGCGCCTTCTTTCCCATCTTCATCCTCGTTCCCGTCTTCGCCACAGCCTTCGGCCTTTACGGCAAAGTGAAGAACATTTGTGGCTTCGGAGACCTACTCGACGACGAAGAGGACTCAGCAGGAAACTACGCTGGCACCGGTTCCTGGCGCGAAGGCCGCGCATTAATCGAGCGCGAAATCCAAGGCGCAAGTGGAAACGTCCTTGGGCTTTCCCAACGAAGTTCTACCAGCCCACCGAACGAACGTTACACCGATAACCCTGCACCATCGCCAACCTCCACCCTTCCGACATCCACTGCGGCTTCAGCGAACGTTGGTCCAAGCACAACACGCCCCGACCGCCGCCGCCCACAACCCAACGACGAAGAAGATGAAGGCAATTTCTTCGAAAACTTCGCATCAAGAGTCAAGAACACGTTTGAGACAAATGATTTTTCCTTCCCAAGGCCGAAATGGCTGGGTGGTGATGACGATGAAGTTGAGGCTGGACGTAGTAGAAGGCAGTTAGATAGGGGCGAAGGGGAACGCGGAAGTGGGTTCTTGAGTTTGTTTGGAGGCAGGGGTGATGAGGGGAGGGTGAGGCTGTAGATGCATTGTTGTAAAATGATAGGTGGGCATTGCGATGGCGTTTTTCCACTTCTTGGGATAGATCATGGGTTTGCGTGGGTGTATGAGTATTGGGTATACAGGGCTTTATGGGTTGCATGGCTTTAGACTTTTTGTTCTGCGCTGTTGCGCTTGACGTATATTTAATATGACATACTGTTATCTTCTAGGATGGATGCCTTCCAGTTGTGGGTGCCGAGGCAGTTGCAATGATTTTTGGCATGTTGTGGTTGTGTCTGGTCAGCCTCGTGCGCCTTGCGCGGTTCACCAGTGGCGCTTTCCTCAGAGGGTGTTGCGCGTTGCTTGGCGCAGTCCAAATCAGGCAAATTCTCGAACACCATCGATTACACGTGTCTGCAATGTTACCACCTACACGCAGCAACGACGCCATGCGGTCATCCTTCACATCTTTGCCTGTATGAGACGCGCTCTACCCCCTTGTCTTTTTACATTAGAATCACCGGTGTACGGATGCGCATCCACTGAAATTACACGCGACGTATGCGACAACTCCTTGGTACAGGCGTTTAGGACACGGCGGCAATAGCTTCGTAAACGTTTTGGATATTTTTCGCATCAATTTCATCCTATGACAAGCCATTCATCGCACGATAACATTACGAGACCAGCGAACCTCCCTTTCGATCGTCGCTGAGCTGCCCCTCATACCACCCACCTCACAACAGATTTACCGCTAGCATCTCATGAACAGGTCCATCAAATCTCAGAAACCTCGCCTTAGCGAAATGCTGTATTCGGGAATGTCTGTTGCCCCGTTCGCGATCGCGACCTCGCGGATCATGGTGTATAGCATCTTGGTCTTGGGCCAGCGCGCCCGAGGCGGCATTGTGGCTCCCCTGCTCATGAGCAATTCCAGTAGCTCCTTGCTGTTTCGGTTGAGAGCAACTTCCATCGGCGAAACCGTCTTTGTGGACCGCTGATACCTAGGAAAGGCGCCATTGACATCTGCACCTGCATCCAGGACCGCGGCGACGATCGGGATGTCGCTGACCTTGATGGCGCAGCAGAGGAAGTTGGTGAAAAGGGTTCCGTCGTTGATGTCCAATTCCTCGTCGTCCAGAAGCAAGTTGACCATGTCAACACTACCGGTGCGACATGCAATTGTGAAGAGGCGATTATTGACCAGGCTGCCTGATGGATTCAGGCGGAGGATAGACTCTACTACGTCTGTGTTTCCATGCTCGATGCCGATCTCGAGCCACCTGTTGTACGTGCGCTTCTCAACCCTGCGAAAGATTGTCTGGCGGAACTTGACAAGCTCATCCACGAAGCGTGTATTGCCAGCCCGGATAGCGGAGCAAATCGCTTCTGCGAAGTTGTAGTCGTAACAACCTAGTGTATCACGTTTGACCGACTTCTTGAGGTTGTTCAGGTGGTCTAAGACTGCATCGAAAAGGTCGTCGTTTTCCGAAGTCACAGCCATCACCAGAGGGCCTTCGCCGATGGTCGTGTAAGGAGACCAAATCGCGGAAGGCATTTGCGCTAGCAGAGGGCGAATCAAGTCAATTGCCTGAGTCGACATAGCCGCTACGATCTTCTCCCAGTGGTGAATGTCCGCGCCGTTTTCTGGATTGTTCCTCAACTGAATGGCTGGGTGGCGGTAGGAACGCCTCCAATTCATCATCATATACATTACTTCGTCGGGACCAGTGACTCGGACAAGACCTTCAACCATGCGGGTCTCAGTCTCCTTCCGCTGTCCTTTTGGGATTGAGAGTTCCGAAACCAAATACTCAATCATTCGGTGGATCGTATTGAGTAGCCGGTTGTCGACATCGGCGGGCTTGTTCAGATGGGCAAGTATATACGTTGTGATGTTGGCAGTGATGACTCCCGGGATCAATCCAACGATATGCTTGGGCTGATTGCTGAGCAGGTCATGCTTGATTTCGCCAGCGAAAGTGTGACAAACGCTTCGAAGTTTCCAAGTGGCCCTGGGGCTATCAGAGTTGAGCGAGTGGATGATGTTTTGGAATATCTCCGTGGGTAGATCTAGAAGTTGCGCCATGTTGAGTTGTTCTTGCGCTCAGTTGATGTCGTATACGGCGACTGGGTCGTTGGAAGATGGAGAGTTATATGTGGAGGAGCTAGTGGCTGGGGGTTACACTTTATCAAATACGCTAAATAGCGCGCTAGTGCCATATTAAGGTGTTCGTGTGAAAGGCCTTTGCCCCGCCTAGGGTAGGCCCAAGCGCTGAAGAGTTTGGTCACATTCACTGCAATCATCACGAGAAGTGGCTCGAATTCGTGCCACATAGGTAGGGTTTGCTGCATACATAATATCAGATCTTAACAAGTAAACAGCTTCCAAGAAAGCGTATCCTTCTACTAGGCATGCCAGGTGTCAGGATATGGGAACGATGGTCTGTACCGTGGTGGAAATGAAACGAAATAGCTCTTGGGGTAATTCTATGCTAGGCCTTCAGCGATGATGGTAGGTGTATAGCTCTCGTTACATCAAACCTTACCAACTAGATACGCTTGCACCATGTGTACTCGCATAGCCTGCCCATCTGCAACTTAAAGGACCAAAGTATACTCCTAGCACCTTGGCCCAACGCATACCATCACCATACTTGCCGTCCACCAGTAACAAGATTTCCTGCTTTCCATGCTGCAGTTATCAGTAGCCGTGTATTTCCCCACAGATGCAACAGAGATTTGAAGGCAGAAAGGTCTCTTTAATGCTTTTGCTTCGTCGATTGCTTCTGGGAGACTGCCGCATTCTGAAGGACGGCTTGCATCTTCTTTGAGAGGTGCCAAGTATAGGTAGCAGGAACGCTGGCTCCGCACTTGATCAAGTAGCACACGGCGTCGAAGTGGTTCAGATAAATAGCGTACTCCAGTGGTGTAATGGCATCGCAATGCTTCAGACGATGGGTTGTTATAACCAAATTAATGTCTGCACCAGCTTCGACGACTGCGCGAATTACCGCAACACCACCAGCTCTTATGGAAGCCGCCAGGGCTGACATCTGGGCGCTACTAGAGTCTAGCTGAATGCTTCCGTAGTTGATGAGAGTGGTAACGATAGCTGAGTCTCCGGTCTTAACGCCCCGTTCGAAGATAGTAGTGTTGATATGTAAGGGCTTGGTGTCGGGTGCGGCTTGGAGAAGAGTTCTGAGGACGTTGTTGCTTCGTGAGAGAATTGCACGATCTATCCACTGACGATAATAGGTTTTGTCGGGAAGGGTCAGGTAGCGACGAATGTAGCCAAGTAGTAGCTTTACCATGTCGACGTTATCATCCGCGATAGCTGGTTGCATGGAGCCAAGCATACTGTATGGAGAACCAAACCCAATGACCTGATTCTTCTTGAACCTCTTCAACTTATGTTGATCCAGAACTGTCATCATAACAGCGATCATCTTGTGGTCTTGTTGTCGAACAGCAGCTAGTATTGGCTCTTCAAAAATACCCAGCGAGAGTGAGGTAGGAGCATGAGGTAGTAGTTTTGCGACGGCATCATGAGCACCTACACTTATCGCCGCAATGAGCTGGTCATGATAGGTGATATCCTTGCTCAGTGCTTGGCGCCGTTCCCTGTATCTTTGCTCGCTCCCTGGCGAGGTTGAGCTATTCCGCCAGAGAAAGGTTGCAAGGAGCGGACATGTCTGCGCAACGCCGGCACAAACCTCCAGAAGGATGTTACGGTCGTCGAGACTGTCTATTGCGGTGAGCTCCTTGGTGACATACTCCACCATCCTCTGTATCTTGGCGGGAAGCTCCGGTAAGACATCGCGTGGACTCTTGACGTGATATGCGAGGTAGTACATCATGTTCTCTTTGCGATTGAGTAGGCACCAGGCTCTGTAGCTGCGAAACGCCTCTCCCGGTTGTACGGCTAGAATGTTTGCGCTGATCTCCTGATCAAAGGTTCCTATGAAATTATCAGCCCTGAGCATTTGCGCGACCACGGGAATGAGAGTCTTACGGCATACGCTTCGCAGTTTCCAAGCACATAGGACACCAACATCACTGACCAGGCAGTTGATGACGTGCCTGAAGATCTCAGGCGGGAAGTCGAGCAAGTCCATCGCAGTGACTGAAGTCGTTACTCCAAGCTCGTCACTTCTCGAATCTGGGTCATGTTAGTACATATGCAATCAAGCTAACGGGGGTTATTTACGTAGGGGTTGCAGTCGTTGCAGTCGCGACACAGTGCGGTGGAGAAAGGAAGGAAGCAGAGTGGGTTGCCTCAATAGGGAAAGGGCCTGTGTGCCAAGCTTTCTTGGTCCAGACAGAGGTAAAGGCAGTCGCAATCTTCGGTCACCTCGACTTATGTATCGCCCTGGCAACTGCGATTGGAGGTGAGCGCGGCTTTCAAGACGAAATAGGCCGTCATAGGTATCAGGCAGCCATGAGTTTGAGGAAGAGAAAATAACTTTTAGATAATTACAGTGTGGTTTCGTAAAACTTGAAAGGAAGGAAACAAACTTCTGAACGCATGCAAAATACTGAATTCGCCTGCCGATTTGTGTGGCAAAGGTAACTGGCCCATCTATAAGCTCCAGTGAGCGATAAATAGCCGCGGTAGAGACATACATCTACGAGGCCCTACAAGTCAGGGTGATGCGACATTGTCACCCTCAGCTCCAAGTTTCTCAATCTCTGCCCTCTTCATTTTCTTGAAATACTTGTACTCCAGCACGTGCCCACCGTCGTTCTTGATCTTGGCATGTCGCAGAATCCCATATGTAGCCTCATGCTTTGACCAACATGCGATGTTTGGTAGGTGTGCACCTGCATCAATCAGAGCTTGAATGATGGAAAGGTTCTTCTTATGCATTGCCACTTTCAACGGAAGCCTTACGGTAGAGTAGTATGGCGTCGGATAGTTGACGTCAGCGCCAGCCTGTATGAGTGAATTGACGATTTCGGATTTGTTCGAGTTGATGCCTGAAATCATTGCACAGGTCGCTGCCGCTGTCTCAATGAGGCCTTTCTCGAAGCACAGCTTGACGACATCTTGGCGTCCTTTTGCGCATGCCAGGGAAAGCTGTGAGGAGGTGATAGGATTCGTCGTCTTTCTCTTGGTATAAGGAACGTCTAACACACGCTGGAATACCGCCAGACTCGACTTGCGAATGGCTGTGTCAAGAAAAGTGTTGTACTCAGCTTTCAAGAATGTGAACCCTGCTTGCTTGTACCACGTGGATAATATACCAAGTATCTCAGGACGGGAATGCTCGACGGCGGCCAGGATGGCCCGTGAAATGTTGAACTCGCTCACTTCCCATTCTTTGCAAGCAAATGGGTCTTGCTGGACGACCATTCGTATGCGCTGGGCTTCGTGAGAACCTTGCAAGGCCGCGTCTAGCTGTTCCAGTATGATTTTGACAACAGATGCCTGTCCTTCTGCAGTCGCCCGCAAGAGAACACCTCCGAAGACGGGATGAGTATCGTAGCTGCGCAGCGATTCCATCGCTGTTTTAATGAGTCCAAGTTTTCCGAGGATTGACGCAGCCACGAGCTGATCGATTGCTCCGAAAGGGGTGCCGAGGTACTCAGGTTTCAAGCCTTTTCTGCTGCCATAGCCTCGCAAAGCGCGTATCATTTCGTCATTTGTGGTGTCAGCGCCTAGTCTGTCGCATAAGTCCCTTTGCAACCCTTCTTTCTCGCTCTCCGTGACAGTTCCTAGCTCTTCTGACATATAGCTGATCATATTGTTGATTCTTTCGGGTAGGTACGGATGCACATCCAAGGGTACCCTACTTCGGTAGTAGAGATAGAGGCCAAAATTGTGGCACAAAAGGTCGTTCGAGATGTAGGTGAGATCTTTCAAGGTCCGCTTGGCGAAGATGTCGTACGTTATAGCTAGCTTGAATGTACCTCCACTCGGTCAGCTTCAGTTCGTAACATGAGAACTCACCACCGCTTTGCTCACCACAGACCCTACGAAGCTTCCAGGCCACGTTAACACCAGCGACAGAGACTAGCTCATGAACGACGTTTTCGAAAACCTCCGGAGATAAATCAAGGAGTGGCATGGTCGTAGACACTATCAGTGGTGATGTGATCATTTTCTTGGTCTGCGAGGTGCTAATATTAGCTTTGACGTAAGATTGAAGCGGCTGGGGTACCTTGGTAGTCTGGCCACTTGCCAATGTGTGTTTCGTGGTCATATCTTTGTAGTGAGATCGACTAACAGTTATCGGTATTAAGGGATGAGAATGAAGAGAAGATTGGAGGAGGAGTATAGTGGTTGGGGTGCTAGATATACTGCTCTAGCGTGGCGCTAGCGCCATGTTCTCGCTCTTGGTGAGAGAACACGTTCTGAGGGGCGATAATACGGCCAGGTAAAGGTGGAAAGGTCACCTGTTTTCGAGAGGCAGAAATACAGATAAATGTATGCAGCGTTCCTGCCCGGCCTCCCGGCAAACACATCAAATCCGATGTTTGCGTCGCAACTTCTCGAGCCTATCCTCCTCGCTCTGCAGATATGCCTCCTCGTCCTGCTCCATTCTGTTCTGACTCTCCATGAACGTCGGGACCTTATCTCCACTCTGCATCATCCTGGCGTCTCGCAAAGCGTTGTACGGCTCTGGTTTGGATGTCGTGTACCAAAGGTCGACGTGACGCACGACAGCGCCTCGCTAAAGAAGATACTCGACTGCAGCCATCGAGTGAGCGGCGGCGAACTCCAGCGGACTTTCATTCTGGACTGGTGCCCCACAGTACTTTTTCGGCTTGGTAGTCAGGTAGTCCGTCTTGTTGATGTCGGCGCCAGCGTCAAGAACTGCTCCGATAATAGCTGTGTCGTCGTCCGTGGTTTTGATGGCGACATGGAGTGGGAGGGTTTGCGCGGAACCCTTGTTGACGTCTACTTGTCCTTCTGATAGCAGGACTTTGACAATGTCTAGGCTATGGGCCTTGCAAGCATAAAGAAAGACGTCTGCGGTGACTTTCGGTCCATATGGAGAATGTAGCACTATCTGGCGTACTATCTCCGCGTTTGGAGGCTGGACGAATTTCACGGCTTCTCGCAGACTCTGCACGTATACATCCCTCACGCCTTTGTGATCATGGTACGACCTCTTCAGAAACTCTGTGAGTCGACCGACAGTACCGGCAGAGTGCTGGTGTATCGCAAGCCTGAAAGCATAAGGTATGTAGAGGCTCTCAAGAGTACTCTTTCCCTGCCGGCGCTTTGCATGATCCAAGATCAGTTGTAAGGTGTCTTGATCGTCTGTAACCACTGCTGCAAGAAGCGGACTCATACGTCGAATCGCCATGTCGTGTTCTCCGAGTTGTGGTAGTAGATCTTCGCGCATCTCGTAGTCACCAAGCGCTGTTGCCGCGGCAACCTTCTCCTCGGATGTGAGCTCTGAAGAAAAGGCGGTTTTGCACCATTGATGATGTAGATCGCAATAGCTCTCTGGAGGATCTGGGTACCGTATAGTGTAGTAGAGGTCAGGGAAAGTTATCGTTTGTGCCATTACGGCGCATACATTAAGAAGCTTCTTCTCCTTCTTGTCGTTGGCAATGTCCAACTCTTGACAAAGGTATGAGTGTGTGCCCAAGATATTGGCCTAGTATTGGGATTAGTAAAAGAATGAGTAAAAGGTCCCACGTAACAGCGCTAAATTTACGTACCGACAAGCTACTCATACTGTCGACAGGCTTCTTGACTCGGTAGTAGAGCCATTCTGGCATTAGATGCGACATAATGCTACCACACCAGCGCCTATCCGCGTACCGTAACTCTTCCGTCTGGTAAAGAAGTATGTCGTCTTTGATCGCGCTCGCAAAAGTGGTGCAGACGAGACGCTGCTTCCACGTTTCCCGCATACCCTCGAGGCAGAATAGATGGTGTGCAATGATACCAACAACCTCGGCGGGCACCTCGACGTGGGCGAACCGCATGGCGACGACGTATCTTCCCAGCTTCCCAAGAATGCGATTTCCGTTGGATTGTTGGTCGCAAAATGGTGGAAGCCGAAACCTTGGAAAGGCGTGGGCCACTAGCGGCGACAGGATCAGGCACCAATCACGTGCTCACGCGTCTCGGTGCTCCCAAGGTTCCTACCTAGGTAGGGTTCCAGGGTCCAGCATTGGTGCGCGCGTTAGCACAGCGCATTCCAACCGTAGCCAGTGAAATGACATATGATGCGCAATGGTCAGTCCTGCACATCGTCCTCCATGTACTCCTGCAGCAAGTCCTTGCGGCCGGCGTACGGCGACGGCTCGACATACGTGCCCTGGAAGTGTGCCCACCAATTCTCTCCTATTTGCGCCGGCGTGCTTTCCTGGTCGACTGGGATTGCGGTGTTGCTATCACAGACGCTCAAGTCGCCTAGATCGAAACGAACATTTCCCTCGCCTTGTTGTATCTCTCGCATAACGCGTGTGAATGATTCAGAAAAGAAGCAGCAACTGTCCATGAGACTAAGCGGGCTTATGGGACGTGGAGCGAGCGGTTCGATTGCTCTTTGCCACCTGGCATCCTCGAGCATTTGCTCAAGGAGAGCGAGCGTACTCGCAGTGTTTCTGGAGTGAAAGGTCACAGAAAAGCGATCGGGAGACAATTTCGATGAAAGAGCTACGGCTTCCTCGAACCACCGTATGAAGGCCTGAGATACGCGCACTCGGTCTACATCTCCATCGAAATCCCAGGTTCGCCCATCTTTGTACCGACCTACAACTTCCTCGAAATAGGGCTGACCGACGTTGCCTGTGATGGCGGTTGTGATGGCGGTTGCGGTGGCGGTCGTGATGGCGGTAGTCTTTGTATCCACTTGGCGACATATATTGATGCGGGGATAGTGTTGCATTATGCTGACCAGACCCAGGCCATGGCACTCTGGTTTTGCTACGCTGGCATGGACTTCATCGAGCACGATTTTTCGGATACTGGATAGAACGCTCGGGTCTAGACCGTTAAGAAATTGTATGGCAAGCGCAGCTGCTGAAAAGTAGCGCTTGGTGGAACCGTCGACACACATGGGACGGTATCTCTTTGGCGAACTCCAAGAGATGCATTGTTCTTTCAGCGAGGCGATATCTTCAGCGTTGGGTATCACCCAAGGGTCAGGAATGCCAGGGAGCAGTGATGCGACATTCGGTTGTTCAGGTCGCTGCCCGAGGACCTCGTCAACTTTCCAAAGCTCCCACCGACTCTTTGTCCCCTTCTCCAGGGCCAGCATAAATTTGATAAATCTACGATGAGTAGAAGGTGGATGACGCCATAGTCTCCAGTCATGCACCATTTGCACGGGGAACGGTTCATGTCTAGCATGACCTCCGCGAAGGCGGTGAAGCAGGGGAACACACTCGGGAAAGTCCACTCCGGCACGCTCAATCATATCGACAGTGATGTCTTTACGAACCCTGCACAGTTGGTATGCGGACTTTGTATAGATCCATTCCAGAGCAGTTGCAAAGGACGCGGCTCTATCGCTCGTCTCACGGTCGACCCATCCCGTCCGGAAAGTGACGGTATTTGTTTGAAAGATGACCGGTCTCAACTCGTGAGCTACTCGACTGCAGGTTTGCAGGAATGAGAGATCGATAGGAGCGCCGTTGGCTGCGCGTAACCTGCGCGTGCGCTGGTTATAGAGATAGCCGCCATCCTGGGCGGCATAGTAGGTATAAATCTCATCCCGTAACTCTCGAGGTAGATCGAAAAACCCCATCATGGCAATGTTGTAAGTGATGACGGGTTGCGGGATAGGTTGAATGTTCTGATGAAATGCGTGAGTGATGATGGACAAACAACGAAGGAGCGAGCCATGGACCCCACACATGTCGCCAAGAGGAAGCGGTAGCGAGAGCGCTCAACCATGAGCCGCGATGAATGAAGTGAGACTAGCGACATCGCTGTGCCAAGCAACACCGATGCCTAGAGCACTGCGTTGTCTCTGTGGCAGTGCGTGCAAGTGCAAAAAGCACGAAGATTGACCGAGACAGTGTCGGTTGAAGAATTGATTCGCGTGCCAACACACCTCAACCGGCATGACGTCTCTAGTGTTTCGTAGATAACCCAAACGCCGTAATAATGCAGCCTGTATAGGGATCAAGACCCATGTACACCATATGATACATTCCGTCATTGTAATCCATCCGTCTCTTGTGTACACCCACTCATGATGCCATCACCTGAAGTTGGCTGTTCCCGGCACGTCCTTGATCTCCTCAAACTTGGTGCCCATCTTCACGACGCTGTATCTTATCAACCGCGGGTCCAAGCTCATGGTTCGCCGTAAAGCGTGCTGTGCGCGGGCGCTCGCATCGAAGCGCATGATGAAGTGGTGGCCGTAGTGGTGTGTGGTCTGCAGCTTCTTCGCTGGCTTGGGGAGGAGGAAGGTGCCCCAGTTGGAGACACCGCGGACTACGCCCTGTTGATCGAGGACAATCTTTCCGGCGGTTTTGGCGATTCTAAAACATATCGGGTCAGCGTTTGGCTGGGGGTGATGTAGGGCGAATTTACTCTTTAACTTCAGAGAGGCGGCCGGGCCGTACCTGCACTTGTCAGCATGTACTACGTTGATCAATGCGACGCTCCTCATACCACTCCGATCATCTCGTACAGCATCTTGCCTCGTTTGCGCCGTGGTGTTGCTGCCGTGGTGCCTTCCGTCGCGAAAAGTGTTCGAATGCGGCCAACCTTTCCGCAATCGCGGAGGAGCTCCACCAATGTCTTGGCGCGTGTTATCACCTCTCCAGCGCCCGCAACTTGAAGCTTCACAATCCACACACAATCTCTCTACAATGGCTGCCAGGACTTCAATCGCACGCGCTGCGCGCCAATTCACCTCCGCCGCCGCGAAGAGGCCATCACCTTTCGTCTGCCAGAGGTGGCAGCCGGCGACTCAGAAGCCACGGTTATTCTCGGTGTCCGCCGCACGTACGCACATCTGAAGCTCTGAGAAGCAATTGAGAGGCGAGCATGGGTGCTGACTGGGCGCAGTGAAGGAGAAGAAGTACACCGAGGACCATGAGTGGATTGAGATGTCTGCAGACGGCAAAACATGTATGCGCACCCTCCCCC